ATGAGCCACCCCATTAAAACCCAACAGTGAGGCATGGTAGGGGGAACTTATGCGGTGCTACCTTGGGAGAGTCGTTTCTTCTAGATTCCAGCCCCAGGTGAGACTCCTCTGCAATATCTCCCCGCTTTTCCTCAGCACTCTCCTCCATACGATCATCCATTATGGCAGTGACACATTCTTCTATCTTCTTTTTCTTACTCCTTTCCTCAATATCCTCCGCCAGAGGTCGGTCAGGAGGGATCTTTCAGTGACCTGAATCAGCCGTTGAAAACTCACATGCACAAGTCCCAATAGAGAGAAAACAAGCTTACTCAGAGCGCTGTCTTTTCTTTTTTTTTCAAAAATTCATAACTTAATATAGAAAAATCAAAATAGAGTGGTTCAAAATTCTATAAAAATCTCATTGAATGCTCTTTCAAGGAAAAATAATGTTATAAACAAATTCCATTTGAAAAAGCATCAGGTTTTTGTGAAAATCACCTCTATCCATTTGGCAGAAATCCTTTTTCCAGATTCTGAACCTTAATTTTGAAAAATCATTACAAATCGTATAGTTGGCCATTTTTAATGTTCTGCATATCAATTTGAAGCTCATGATGTGAACTTTAAGCATACCAAATTTCATACAGGAATTCATTCAGTAACTTACTAAAACGTGGCTCTAATTTCGTGACCTACTTAGGGATTACAGCTCCAACCATACATGCTTATACATAACCAAATATAAATATTTCCTCCTGGCTCATCACCATATTTATCCTTGGATTTGAAGCCTCCCTTTTGATGATTCAGTCCCTAAAATATTAGTTACATATGGGGGATGAGATTTCAATGAAATCCCAGTAGCAAGATCAATCAACCAAAATATCAACATGCATTAATTACAAGCATTCCAACCTTTTGCTATTAATAGGGAACTACTTTACCTCATACATGTAGCACTCTAACATACAATAGCCAAGGCACATAAAGCAAGGAGTATAGCTACACAATCATCATCATCATCATCATCATTTAGTTCAACCACATAATAGCACATGAAATTGCATAGCAATCAATGCAACACTCAACATTAAGGTCAATTAAATCTTACTACCTTGATCCAATGCTCTTTGATTTTTTTGTTTGTCTTTCTTGCTTCCACAAATGCCAAACCCTAACATGGCAATCCACAAAAAGGACAGCAATAATCATCAATCATTCCACATAAATAATCAACAACATAACTCAAGGACAACCTTTGTCCCTTAAAACTTCCACCTTTGTTCTTTAAATTTTAGAGTTTGTTTCCTTAAATCATAAAAATTCCCTCTTGACTCAATCCTACATAATTTTTATGTAGATTCCAAATATCTACTTCAATTTAAGAAAATAAAACTTCCTCTTTCGGTTTCAGCTTGGCCGAACCACTATGGTTCATTTTCCAAAAATTACAACTTTGATTTTGTGGCTTCCAACACTTCTTCTTTAGGGTTACCCTACACCATTTTCCATTTTGAATACAATGGAAGTCTCAAAGCCTTGAAAAACACATCCTAGGGTTTAGCTCTTTCTTTGGCCAAAATGGATCTCATGCAACACAACAAAGAAAACACTTCAAAATCAACCTACAACCACTTGTAACCACTAGGATCTATCATGCTTTGAAGTGTTCTAGCAAGATTGAACAATAAAACTTCCTCCTCTACAATATATATGTTTCGGCCAGCATTAAAAGGGAAGAGAAACTATGATTTTCAACCATACAACTTAAGCAAACAAGCAAGGAATCATCTTAGAATAACTTACTGAGCTTGAATCTTAGTTGAAAGATCAAAGTAGCTTGCTTTTCTCTTGATTTCCCTTCAAGCTCACTCTTTTCTCTCTTAATCTCTCCTTGGCTGAACTAGTGATCTGATTTAGGGGAGAGGAGAAGCTCATTAATGTGCACAAAATATCCCACCAACCAACATTAATGATTTGCCAAGTGTCATATGCCTACTTAATCTTAATCCTCTCTCTTAATTAACTTAATGCCAAATAAAATTAATTTCAAAAGTCAAGATCCTCTCCATTGGTGGCTTGACACTTGGAAAGCTTTAATTACCATCCGTTAGAGGCTTGACAAGTGGCAACTTGTGGGCCAAGTAAAGTGTAAGACTCTGGTCTTCACTTTATCGATGCACTTTTGCTTCGGGTTTAATTTCTTTTCTATAATTACAGTGCTCTGACCTCTGTAATTATTTTCTGTTAGATCCATAAATTATTATCCTCATTTTTATCTTTTCAAATTGCCCTCTTTGTCTCTAATTTAATTTCCCAATAATTAAATAAAAGGAAAACTATTTTCCTTCTCTTTAGTGACTTTTCCACTTTTCAAAGGAATTGGGAAAAATCTTGGATACTTGAGGGTCTTCCTTTAATTCCATAATCTCTTATAATTCCTTGGGATATTATAGGAATTTTATTGGGATTTTATCCTTCTTAACAATATTTATTTGGAATTTTCCAAATAAAAGACCTTAAACGAGCTTAAATTGCCCTTAAATTCCTTTGTAATTTCTCTAAGGGTAATTTGGTCATAAAACCAATTTTATAATCTCATATAATTCTCAAAAAACATTGTTCTTATTTTTCCTTAATTTTTTGAGGCTTGGAAATATTTTTCTTAATTAGTCAAACTTTTCATAATCGACTTAGAAAATTATAATAATTATTTTCCACAATAAATCTTTCATTTCTCCTTATCATTTGTGGCCTTTAAATATTTAGAATATTTCTTATTCCTAATTACCATAGTACTGGATGTGACAAGCATTTTGACTATATTTCATCATTTATCGATAATCTGTTTCTTGAAGGGTATGATCCATAATATCTTCGATAAATGAGTCCATGTTTTGGAATTGCTTCTTTCTCTATTAATCGATAACTTTATTAATTAAACACTTATCCATCAGATCTTTGATAAAATTTGATAAAATTGATTCTCTAATTATCTAATCTTTGATTTATGATTTTCATTTCCTGGATTAAATCCCAAGTTCATCATTTCTTCTGCTATTCATTCTTATTCACTTGAGATGAAAAATTATCCTTGTATCTAGACATTTTCACAAGTTACGAAGCTCAACAAATACATTATAGGCTCATCCTACCTGTGTCAAAACCATTTATTACAAACAACTGTTATAATTGCCAACATATGCAAGCGATATCCCAATGATTACAAGCTCTAGTGTCTAACAGAAACTTAAAAGACTCTTAACTATAAATGGCACGAAGAAGCATTGAATGAAGAAATGAGTGAATTGAGCTACCAACTATCAAAATCAATCTTTGCATTCAACACTCTATTTTACTGTCTGAGCTTCAATGTTTCTCTTATACACTCTTGAGAGAGAATCTGTAAATCATTTATTACTTTAAATTAGTGACTCAAGTATCACATCCAATATTTTGTGACTAAGGTATAATTAATCTAAAGATGGTTAAGGGTCAGAATATTAGTGTTAATGTAGATTGGACAACTTGTGATGTGAAATCAGGATAAGGACCAAAGTGAAATTTTCAGTATTTTGAGTAAGTTAGTATATATCAGAAAAATATGACAGAAAGCTCTGAAAATTTCTAGAAAACTCTAGAAATTAGAGAAAATTCTCTAGAACAGAATGATGGTCCTATAAGTCAAAAATATGAAGGAAATTAATTAATATTAATTTTCTAGTAATTTTCACCATATTTGACTAATTAAGGAAAATTAGTCAAATTTAAATATTTCATGTAATCCAAGGCCTCAAAAAAAATTGGGAAAAATATGGATAAAATACCTTGAGAGTTTTTGAACATTGTAAAAGCAATTTTCTTCCCAAATTAGCCCTAGGTTAACTTTAAAAATATTTAAAACTTATTTAAGCCAATTAGGGCTTGTATACTACAGGAAATTCAAAAAGAAATATCTATAGGGGAAGTTAAATCCCAAAAAAAATTCATGGAATTTCCTTGGAATTAAAGAAAGATTTTAAAGGTAACAGAAACATTCTCGAAGTCCTAAAACTGTAGAAAGCATTTTCAGAAAGGAAAAATAATATTTTTAGCCACTATTTTGACCAAGGAGTTCTATTCTTTTGAGAGCCATTATAAGGGGTGGTGACTCAAAAGTAAATAGGTAAAAGATGAGGATAGGTGGTTAAAAATATCAGGGACAATTATAGTATTGTCAGCACAAAAGTTACTTAAGCCGATAGAAAGTTATACAGGATATATTGTGAAAAATCTTCTTCCATCTTGACTAAGCCATTCTTGACCCCATTTGGAGGGTGGAAGAAGCAAGGAGAAGTTTCAAGATGTGCATGACATAAGCCCTTAGGAATTATGACCTCATATATAACAATTATCAACCAATCACATAATTTTGGCAATGTGAAAAAGGTTAAGGGAAAAATTGTCCAAAGACCTTTATAAAATCCCATCTTCCTCTCTCGCCTCCTTCACATTTCGGTTTTCATAGGAGAACCTCTTGAGAATTGAAAACTTGAATCTTAAAGAGGAGAACAAGGCAAGAAATCAACCAACCAAACTTGGATCCAAGGTTAGTAGTTAATCCTAGTTGGTTTAATGCTTAGAAATCTTGGGTTTTATGGTTGAAAATCCATGATTTTCCCTTCCCCTCTTGTTAGCCGAAATTATATAGGAATGGTGGAGGATGATTTTGATGATGGGAATTACTTTAAGAGGTTGTTTATGACTTGAATCAAGTGGTGTTATGTGATTATGGTTGATATTGTTGTTGTTGGAAAACTTAGGATACCCCACGGCCAAGAGGACTTTTCACCTAGGATTGGATTTTACTTGTTTTGATGCTTCCAATATGTTTAGAATGAAAAATTATGTAAGATACACCTAAGGAAGAAGTCTTGGAAGCATAGGAATCAAAATTGGAAATTTAGGTGAAAAAGAGGAAGTGTAACATGAAATCTAATTACTCTCAACTAGCTATAATATTAGGACCGGAAGGAGTATGAACCAAGAGCAATTATAATTTCTAGTTCTACTCGATCCTGCATAGCAACAAGAGAAAATCCTATACTATTGAAAATTACTGCAATATAATAGATATGCATGGTTTGAGTGTGGTCAAATAAACATCTTGGCGAGTTACTAACCATACATACATAGATACCTATATATACAGGTATAGATCAACGAGCTTGCTCTTGAATTTCATTCTCGGACCATGTCAGTGATGGAGAGAGCTATGGCGGACAACTGAAAGGTATGATTGTTTCTCTTCGTTAATGGCGAAACCACTCGTCTGCTATTTTCCTTGAAGCCATCTTCACAGGTGGAAGACGCATCAAGAACTGAACTAACCTTGGCGTTCGAATCTACATAACGCTTTCTCCTGTAATCTCCAATGGCTTCTTCAACAGTTGTGATGGCATCTGAATACAGTTCCAGGCAATCTTTTAAGCATTCTATGATATACCGATCTATCTTCTTCTTCTTCAAGAGGTGTTTAATGTAAACCCTAGTTTCTGTGACGTTGTTTCTGGTTAGATTCATGGAGATGAGACCAAGTTTAGTGAGGCTTAATCTCATGCTGTGGCTGCTGGGATCTGCTTCTAAAGAAGATATGCAGAAGTTAAGGCTTATGTTTGGATCAGTGTCTGAACTTTTCTTGCAGGTTTCTTGAATGAGATGGTTCATGGATGCTAAGGGATTGAAGGAAGGGAAGAGGATGATAAAAAAGAATAAGGAACACAAGCAGGGTATTGTACCCATCATCTTCTGCCGCGCATAGTGTACGTATAGGATTAGGAATATATAGAGAAAGAAAAGGGAGGGGGAGGTGAAATCAGACTTAGATTCTCTTTCCCTTGCCTTTTTTCTCTCCACTTTTTATCTCAACCAATAAATTACATAATATTAAGTTGAAAAATTTTGAATAAGTTTTATAATATATGAATATAATATTTAATTTCACCTTGATCTCATGCTGATTTAGGTCATTTCATGAAAAAACAATTTAATATAATTTTCGAATAATCTCCAAAGGCTTCACAAAAATTAAGATATTTTGAGGGATTATTTTGAGCTTCACACATCCTTATATAGTATATATCTTTCTGTCTTAATATATTTTAAATCTTATTTGAAAATACAAAACAAGGCATCTAAAAATGAGCCTATTATAATGTTTTCCTACAACTTAAATTTGTCTATTCAATTTTTAAAATCTTTAAAATATAATTTTATTTTTAATATTTAATTAATACTTTTAAATACACAGAAGTATCTATTTTCAGTTTAAACGGCATTTACTTTCTAATTATAGATACATATTTAAATACATTAAATACTCTATAATATTCTTCCAGAAGAAATGAGCAGCAAATTGCTAACAGCGTATCTGGGCGCACCGCAGAAGCATATATGACTGGAGCGTACACTAGTCTCGCGAAGAAGAAAGCTTCTCAACACACCAATACATCCACGTGGATGGGGCTTTTTGCGGGATTAACGGACAGAAATTATATACGGAGGCTTTTATGTGGAGGGTGGAGCAAGGAGAAAGCCTTGCTGCTGAACTTTGGGGAGATCGAGCTTGGGATAGCGGCCGCAAGTGTGTGAATATGTTTACAGACTCAGACTGCTACAAATATCGAGCTACACGATGATGCCACCCTGATCTATGAACTGCAAAATTTCTTAAGAAGAGAATGGAATGTAAAGTTACTGTGGATCAGCAGAGATGACAACAGGGAGGCAGATTTCTTCACAAAGGAGGCCTTATCTTAGGGGAAGCGGCTTTCCTCCTTTGCTTTTACCATCCGCTGCCTCGCATGATGTCGTTTGGTGAGAAAGCGGGATCTGAATCAAATTAATTGGACGACAGTGTTTAATATGAAATCATGTTTCCTTCTTCGGTTCTTCCATGCAGCAGCGCGTCTGGTTTTAATGTTTTAATTTCCCGTGTTCCATTCTTCTTCCACTAGCGTGGGAAAGTTGAAGGTACTGGAGTGAAGAAGTTTCTTAGAAGACTTGAAGAATTTCAACAAAAGAGATATATGGGCTCTGAATATTAAAGATTGGTAAGGAAATAAGTTTCTTCTTCTTTCATATCTGTTTAAATTTTTCCGTAAAATGAATCAGTTATGAGTCAATCCAAAAAAGAATCAGTTTTGAGAATGTAGGAGAAGCAAAATATAGCAATGGAAACCACCATTTTCATCTCTTTCTTATGTGTTCTTTTCATTTGTGTGTGAGTATTTGAATCAAAAAGTCAAAAGAACAAACCACCTGAATCAGCGACATACTGTGCAAACGTGGGTGTATATATTTTAATAAAAGATAGATTGAAATAATTGAATTCAAGGGAGTTTCGGGACTATGTATATGCTCTGTTTAGTTAATAGATTCTTTTTGTGGGTGGATATGTGTGTATATATTTGCCTCATTTAATGTATTTATTTGTGTGTGTATACAATTTGTAACTATTTTATTCACTTATCATTAATTAACATTATACACTTTTCAATTTTGCAGGAGGCTTAAACCATGGCAATAAATTTGACTCCTACACTTAATCTTGAATTTGATGATATAGAAGCATCCCGGGAATTTTGGAGAACATATGCTAAAAGAATTGGTTTTGGTGTTCGAAAGCAGAGGTTTAACAAGAGCAAAAAAAGATAAGCCAATCACATTCATCTTATCTATATGTTTGTAACAAAGAAGGGGTGAAAAAACCAGATAAACTAGAGGTGCAAATTAGGAAGCCTAGAAATGAGACAAGAACGAGTTGTGAAGCTAGAATGAAAGATAAGCTGGTAAATGGAAAATATAGAATAAGTGAAGTTTTTCTAGATAATAATCATCCTCTTCAACCTCCTAAAGCTGTTCACCTACTTCCATTGTATCGAGGATTAACACCAGCTCAACGTTATGAATTAGAAAATGCTGAAAAAGCTAGGGTTAATCAAAAATCAACATTCAATTTGCAAAGCCAATATGCAGGAGGTCGAGACAACTGGGATATACAAGAGGTGATGTGAAAAATTATCTTAACTCAAGCTAGCTCTCTTTTTTGGTCAAGCTAGCTCATCATTTTGTTCTTATGTGTTACTCTCTATTTTGATCAATCAAGCTCATCATTTTCTTTATTTGAGCTAGTTCTGTTTTTTTAATGAAACTTGCTTATTGTTCTTGTAACCTATTATGCAGCATGAAATTCAGTCATGCTAAAATATTTCCTTCCTTGTTGCAATTCAAACATCTTGATACACATCCATGTAGCAAATTAAGTATTGCTTTTATGTGAATGATGTGAACACAACCTGAAACAATGCAATGGGAAACATATTATTCTATCAGTATGTGAGCTTGCTTAAGATTTATCAACATGCCTAAATTTCTTCCTCAAAAAATATGATGAATCAATAATTTAAAAAAGAGTTATATATTTTTAACAAAACCTCAAACTTGATAGGCCAAAATCACATAGCTATTAATTATGAGGATCATGTTTTTTCCTTTATTATTGAGGTATGCTCTCAACCTAGAAAATGCATAAAAATTCTAGAATCAATTCAAATACCAAATTCATGAAAGCTTAAGCAATCATAATTTGCATCAATAGTAATAAAGGCTTGATCACAACATTTACCTATTGGACTTGAGTACGTGAAGTGTCAAACTGATAGTCTATACAATAAACATTCCCATTAATTGTTGGACACAAACTTAGATCTTGGAGGAAAGCAAATCACCAGGCTGAGAAATGTAAGATTCAAAATATCAAGAGAAGTTTGAAATTTTTTTGAGCTACTGTAACAACTGATGGATCTATTATGATAATGAGAACAATAAACAATTATTTTGTACCTACAAAATTGTCATCAAATGGGGCAAATACAAATGCATTTAAATGATGCAAAATCAAGGTCATGGCATTCTTAATATTGTAATGTTTACAATACGCAAATAGAATGACCATTCTCCTCTTTGTAAGAATAAGGGGATGCAAAAAAATTCTATACATATTAAATATTGAACTGATACATTATAATAAAGCTAACTAATTGAGCCACTTCTACTTTAAGTCCATTAAAACTGTAAAGTGTTCAATTTATATTGTCCTAAATAGTAGTCCATTATACCCTCCCACAATTAGATGCAAGTAGGCAACAGAACAGGCTATATGGATATAAAGAGAAGCAAAAAAAATATAAGCTTTTAATCATTTACAAACAATAATTACTAAATTCCTCATATGTCTACCTTTGCCCCTTTGATGTAGTTTCTTTTCATGTGAACACTACACAAATTATAGTTAATCTCATATTCCAACTTATTCAACTACCAAAGAAAAAAATCCCCATAAGATTACTATCTAACAAGAACACTGCTATTTGGTTGTTGAATTATCCCCATTGAATTTATCATCCTTGTATACATCTCGAACCTATTGTCGTTATCATAATAATATAGCTTGAAAAATAATGAGATACAAACACCCAATCTTGTATAAGAGATGAGTTGCTCATTTAAAATCAATCAATATAACATCAGAAATCAATAGGCTTAGTCGAAAAAGTGCATAATTTTATATATAGATTTTCCAAAAATACTAGGCTTATTATTTTACGTACCTTCTCCATAATTATTGAGAAGAATATCAAACATCCCCTTGCAAAAGAAAGAAAAATATATTTACATAATTATATATATAGATTTAATATATGAAACAAAGCAATGAAATCTAATAGAAGCTCTTGAATGGGCGAGAGAGCAAGATACCGGATTTGGAGCTTCTCCACTTTTGCTGATTAGTGAGATCTAGTCAAAGGATCAATGACTAAAAAAGAGGTTGAGCTATTAAAGGACTTTGGGGATTCTGAAATTCAATGAAAGAAAACCTAATTCAAGCTCTTGAATTGGCGAGAGGGGGAGATCTGCAATTAAGTCGTTCACTTTGCTCTAATCTACATGCCAATTTGGGTTGAAGGGGCTACATTGTTAAAGAAAAGGGTTGTGTTGTTGAAGAACGAACATGAGTTTCATGGATGTGTTGCTGAATAGAAGAAGGAAACATGATTTCATATTAAACGCTGTCGTCCAATTCATTTGACTCAGATCCTGCTTTCTCACCAAACGATATCGTTCCAGGCAGTGGACAGTAAGTGGATGGTAAAAGCAAAGGAGGAAAGCCGCTCCCTATCTAGGGGCCATGGGCTGCACATTTTCCGGTAAAGATTAAAGGAAACACCTACCAGCTACCATATCAACATAGAGCCTGTTTAGAATCACCTTTAAAAGTGCTTATAAATACATTTAACGTAAGTTTAGACAAAACTCCTCTTATATACTTACTGCGTATTCCATAAATCATGATTGAAAAGCTTCTTATAAATCATTCCAAAAAGACCCATGATTGTTTTTTAAATTTAACTATTGATATTGTTAGATTTTGGGCCAGACCTGCCATTGATAAACCAAACTATTTGATTGGAAATTGGAGAAAATCCCAATTAAATGATATAATCAAGTAAGATTATATTTCAGTTAGAGGTGGAAATAGGCCAAGCGGCCTATGGCCACTGATTATGTGGAGGTTAAATGATAAATAACATTTTTGGTTTTCATAGGATATTCCTAATAACTAATTAAACTAAAAAAAATATGAAATTAATGCATAAAAAAGGTCCTAAAATGCCTACTTGTGCTTAGATGCTCGTTTAAATGTCCAGTGGAAC